GGATCCACCTGCCTCAGCTTCCCAAAGTACTGGGATTACAGGCGTGAGCCACTGCACCTGGCCACCAAAGGCCTATTCTTTTCTTTTCTCTGTCTATATTTTTTTGAGACGGAGTCTCGCTCTGTCGCCCAGGTTGGAGTGCGGTGGCGCCATCTCAGTTCACTGCAATCTCCATCTCCTGGGTTCATGCCATTCTCCACCACGCCCGGCTAATTTTTTTTGTATTTTTAGTAGAGACGGGGTTTCACGGTGTTAGCCAGGATGGTCTTGATCTCCTGACCTCATGATCTGCCCGTCTCAGCCTCCCAAAGTGCTGGGATTACAGGCATGAGCCACCGCACCCAGCCCACCCAAGGCCTATTCTAATGCTGCCAAACAAAGGTCAAAAGACTGCACACCCGTGACTGCCTTTCCTAGCAAGATTAAAAATTGAAGGATCAGCAGGAAGTTGCTAATTGATTAACGTGGGTAGTGTATGTAAAGTTATATGAATTGTATGCTTTCTCTCTTCTTTATGTGTGTTTGAGAACATCCATAATGAAAGTATGGTGGCTGGCGAGGTGGCTTACGCCGGTAATCCCAGCAGTTTAGGAGACCAAGGCAGGCAGATCACCTGCCTATTTTAACTTATCATATTCCTTTATTCAGGGAGAGAAGTTATTGAGATGTTAACTGGTTGTAGGCAAAGGGAAGAAACATGGTGAAGTCAGGTTTGTTGGTGGAGGAAAAATGGTACTAAAGACTCTGCCCAACAAATATTCGGAATCCAGAAATGTGCGTATTTCTCCAGGGTTCAGTTTCTCACGGGTCACTTTCCATTACACGGATTCTGGAGAGCAAATAAGATAGGATTCATTCAGGTATCAAGCCAGAGTCTTTTTTTTTTTTTTTTTTTTTTTTGGGAGGGGGAAGACAAAGTCTAGCTCTATCGCCCAGGCTGGAGTGCAGTGGCACAATCTCAGCTCACTGCAACCTCTGCCTCCCGGGTTCAAGCGATTCTCCTGGCTCAGTCTCCTGAGTAGCTGGGATTACAGGTGCCAGCCACCACACCTGACTAATTTTTGTATTTTTAGTAAAGACAGTGTTTCACCATATTGGTCAGGCTGGTCTCGAACTCCTGACTTTGTGATCCACCCTCCTCAGCCTCCCAAAGTGTCATCTCAGGATTTTAGGCGTGAGCCATGGTGCCTGGCCAAAATGGTTATTTTTAACTTTTATTTTCTCGAGACAGAGTCTTGCCCTGTCCCCCAGGCTGGAGTGCAGTGGTGCGATCTCAGCTCACTGCAAGCTCCGCCTCCCGGGTTCACGCCATTCTCCTGCCTCAGCCTCCCGAGTAGCTGGGACTACAGGCGCTGCCACCACGACCAGCTAATTTTTTATATTTTTAGTAGAGACGGGGTTTCACTGTGTTAGCCAGGATGGTCTCGATCTCCTCACCTTGTGATCCGCCTGCCTCAGTCTCCCAAAGTGTCATCCCAGGATTACAGGCGTGAGCCACCACGCCCAGCCCAAAATGGTGGTTTTTATAATTCAATCATTCTGTGTTTACGAATGGAATTTTTTTGTTGTTGTTGAGACAGAGGCTCACTCTGTCACCCAGGTTGGAGTACAGAGGCCTGATCTCATCTCACTGTCACCCCAGCCTCCTGGGTTCAAGCGATTCCTCTGCCTCAGGCCTCTGAGTAGCTGGGATCACAGGAGCACACCACCATGCCTGGCTAATTTTTGTATTTTTAGTAGAGAGGTCTTTCATCATATTGGGCAGGCTGGTCTCAAACTCCTGACCTCGTGATCCACCTGCCTCAGCCTCTCAAAGAGCTTGGATCAGAGGCATGAGCCACAGCGCCCGGCCAGAATCTTTGTTAATGTGCATCTTGGCATATACGCTGAGACACACACACACACATATTCCAATATATATCAATGTATGTGATAGCCTCACCTAGGTCAAGATACAGCAGATTTATTTTCTTTTTCTTTTTTTTTTTGAAACAGACACTGCCTCTGTCACCCAGACTGGAGTGCAGTGACGCGATCTTGGCTCACTGCAACCTCTGCCTGCCAAGTTCAAGGGATTTTCATGATTCAGCCTCCTGAGTAGCTGGGATTACTAATTTTTGTATTTTTGGTTTTGCCATGTTGTCCAAGCTGGTCTCAAACTCCCAGCCTCAAGTGATCCAGCTGCCTTGCCTCCCAAAGTGCTGGGATTACAGATGTGAAACACTGTGCTCAGCCTTTCTTTTCTTTTTTCTCTTTCTTTTCTTCCTTCCTTCCTTTCTTCCTTCCTTCTTTCCTTCCTTTCTTTTTGCGACTGGTCTTGCTCAGTCACGGAAGTTACAGGCTGGAGTGCACTGGCACAGTCATAGCTCACTGCAGCCTCAAACTCTTGAGCTCAAGCAATCCTCCTGCCTCAGCCTCCTGAGTAGCTGAGACTACAGGTGCACACCAGCGTGCCATGCTAATTTTTAATTTTTTGTAGAGATGGGATCTCGCTATGTTGCCCAAGCTGGTCTCTAATTCCTGGGCTCAAGCGACTCTCTCACCTAGGCCTCCTGAAGTGCTGGGATTACCGGCGTGAGCCACTGCACCCAACCAAGATACAGCAGATTTCTAGTACCCCAGAAGGCTCCTTCCTGATCTACACTTTCCCACAAAGGAAACTACTCTTCGGACTTCAATCGTCATCAGTTCTGCTTCCTGCGCTTCATCTCAGTGGGATGGTGCAGTGTCTCTCGTACCTGGCTCCCTCTGCTCACCCATGTCGTGGAATGTTCCTGCCCCTTCGTTTTTCTTTTTTGGCTGTGTAGTATTCCATGATGTGAATGTATCACCATTTATTCACTCTCCTGTTGATGGACATTTTGGTGGTTTTCATTTGGGGCTCTTATGAATAAAAATGGCAAGGAACTTTTTTTTTTTTTTTTGAGACGGAGTCTTGTTCTGTCACCCAGGCTGGAGTGCAGTGGCAGGATCTTGGCTCACTGCAAGCTCCACCTCCCAGGTTTACACCATTCTCCTGCCTCAGCCTCCCAAGTAGCTGGGACTATAGGTGCCTGCCACCACGCCTGGCTAATTTTTTGTATTTTTAGTAGAGACGGGTTTTCACTGTGTTAGCCAGGATGGTTTCTCCTGACCTCGTGATCTGCCCGCCTCGGCCTCCGAAAGTGCTGGGATTACAGGTGTGTGCCACCAGGGCCGACAACAAACATTCTTATATGTCTTTTTGTGGACATTTGCATTCATTTCTCTTGTGTACATGCTTAGGATGGAATTTCTGAAGGTAGGCATATATTTAGCTTTAGTAGAAACTGCCAAACAGGTTTCCAATGTGCTTATACAACTTTATGCTACTGCCAGCTTGACAGTTCTTGTACTTCTACATCTTTTCCAATACTCGGTATAACACAGCATTTAACTTTAAACAGAGATAAAATGCTGGAGAGATCCAAAGAAGTGTGCGTGTTCCTGAAGAACATCCAATAAAGGGCCTCTTCTATTCGTCTATTTCTGGCACTGAAAACCACTGCATGGCCAGATCAGGAAGGAGGCCTGGTACAACTCCCAAGGAGGCACATGTCCCTCAGGTGGGCTTTGTGTCCCAGAAACTCTGGGGAAGGGGTGGAGAGGTGCCTTCTGGGCGAGCTGGTCTCCTCTGGCTTTTCTTGTCCCCTAGGGCTCCCAACCAGGAGACAGAGCACAGCCTGGCCAGGGAGCAGTACCTGCTACTGCGCTTGCTGTGAGCCAGCCACTCTGCCCTCTTTCAGGAATTACAGAATCCACAGGTACCCGGCATCGTTATTTATTTATTTATTCATTTATGCGGCATGGTTTTCCTCAGCTCTGTCGGATGGGTCTCTGTGAAGGGAGCTGGGTGGGGGCGGGTGGCCCCTCCCTGGAGGAGGCAGCCCCCTGGTCAGGATCTTTGGGGCTTCAGGTTTCATGAGTTAGGGCCAGTCTCCCTAGAGAAACCCTTCTTGGCTAGGGCTGGGGAGCCCACCAGAGTGACCCAATCAGTTCTCAGGGCCTGTGGTGGAGCCAAGTGGTTTCGAGAAGGCCATGTTCAGCTCCATCCTAAAGAGCATTCATGCAAGTTGGGGAGGAGGACGAGGGGTGCACAGCTCTGAGCTGAGTCAGACCCACCTGAGGACTGAGCCCAGCAGGAGGAGGCCGAGTCACTAACCATAAAAGGAGCAGATGCCTCCCCCGTGCTGGTTGAGATGAGTCTTGGGCATCAACTCTAATAATTTCTAATTATACCCAGAAATACTGATTCACACAGCAACTAGTGAATAATAGCCTTTTAGAGCTAAAAAAGCCTTGTATGATTTATTGTAAGTTGACATATGCATTTTACACAAACTAGAGGCACCGTGGTAGGCCAGCGGCAGCCTGTTCAGGGGCCACAGCAAGGAGATTGGATTTCCTTAAGTGCAATGGGAGTTACTGGCTAGGCTTTATGGTTTTAGCCACAGGAAAGATGAATGTATTTCAGAGTAATATGGTGGATTCAAAATGAGGTTTAGAACTAGATCGATAATTTTTTTTTTTTTTTTTTTTTTTTTTTTTTTTTTTTTTTTAAGACGGAGTCTCACTCTATCGCCCAGGCTGGAGTGCAGTGGCGCTATCTCGGCTCACTGCAACCTCTGCCGCCCGGGTTCAAGCGATTCTCCTACCTCAGCCTCCGGAGTAGCTGGGATTACAGGTGTGCGCCACCACGCCCGGCTAATTTTTGTATTTTTGGTAGAGATGGTGTTTCACCATGTTGGCCAGCCTGGTCTCGAACGCCTGACCTCAGGTGATCCGCCCGCATTGGCCTCTCAAAGTGCTGGGACTACAAGCACGAACCAGGATACCGGACCCAGCCTTTTTTAAAATGACGGTTTCGGCAGGCGGTGGCTCACAGCGCGGGTGCCGGATGCGGTGCCCACCGCACTCTCGCGGGAGAACGCGCGTGCGTGCGTGCGGCGGAAGCCCCGCCTTCCGGAGCCTGCGGTTGGCCCCGCCCGCAGCCCGTGAACTCCGAGTAGGAAGACAAACCGGATTGCCGGAAGCGAGAGAGTCCGGACAAGCGGCGAAGGGCTCCTGTTCCCAGTCGGCTGCGCCCGCGGAGCCGCCTCGTTGCCGTTGGCCGTAAGCGGGGGCGGCAGTCCCATCGGCCAGCGCCTCGGGCTGCGAGTGGCGCCGGGATCGGGGGCGTCGGCTCAGCAAGCGGCTGGCGTCCGCGCCCTGCGCGTCAGGTCCTGGCCTGGGGCACCGGGGCGGCAGGCGGCGGGGGCGGTGCGGGCGGGGATTTGGCGGGCGGCCGAGCCCGGGAGGCGGGCCTGGAGCGGCGGCAGCACCGGGGCCGGCCTGAGGGACCTCCCTAGGCGCAGCCTCGGGCCTCTCTCCATCTCTAAGTGGTGGTGGCTGTGGGCGTTTCTGCAGGCGATCCTTTTGAGTATTTGTTTCACGCACGCGCCCTGCTGTGGGGTAAAGCGGCAGATTCACGCTGCTGTCATGTGTCATCAAAACGATGGGCTTGCCCGGCGCTGTGACTCAGGCCTGTAATCCCAGCACTTTAGGAGGCGGAGGCGGGCGGATCACGAGTTCAGGAGATCAGTGTCATCCTGGCTAACACGGTGAAACCCCGTCTCTACTAAAAATACGAAAAAAAAAAAAAAACTAGCCGGGCGTGGTGGCGGCGCCTGTAGTCCCAGCTACTCTGGAGGCTGAGGCAGGAGAATGGCGTGAACCCGGGAGGCGGACCTTGCAGTGAGCTGAGATAGCACCACTGCACTCCAGCCTGGGCGACAGAGCGAGACTCCGTCTCAAAAAAAAAAAAAAAAAGTAAAAACGATGGGCTTCCTGTCGGGTGTGTGTGCCTTTTGGATTTGAGGGCAGGGGGATGACATTGTGACTTGGCCTCCTCTGACCGTCCATTTTCAAGATCTCGCCAGTGTGGTGCAGAAACTCGGCACACCCTGCCTACCTTGGAAGGAGGCTTTCCCTTCCCCACCTCCCTCCCCTCCATCTCTTCCCTCTTTCCCTCTCTCCCCTTCACTCCCCTCCCCCAGCTCTTCTCTTCCCCCTTTCTGTTCTCTTTTTTTTTCTGCGTTAAACCTTTCGGGAGTGTCTTTGTAAACTATTAAAAAGAGTTAGGTCTTCAACATGTATGTTTACTTGCAGGCCTGAGAACTGGAGGAAACTGGAGAAAAGATGCCCTCTGACTCTTTCTGTTTGGCTGCCCAGGCTCGCCTTGACTCCAAATGGTTGAAAACAGATATACAGGTGGGGTTTGACATGTCTTTTTCTTAGTGTGTTTCTGCTTCCATGTTTAAATTTCTCGTGTAAGGCTTTTTTTAGGGTATGTAAAGGGAAGTCAGTTGTATCTTGCTATATTAGAAAAGTAGGTTTATTTCCTGTAACTTAAAATGTAACAGTCTTCATGGCTCTTTTTGTAGATTGTGCAGGGCTGCCTTTTAATTAGTTTCTTGCAAGTGCACGAAACTTGAGATCTATTAATAGGCAAAAATTTTCTCCTATTTATTATTACTGGTTAAGAAATCTGCCACACTCCTAACCATATCATGGTGACTGTTGTTTGCTCCTGATAGTTCTTGAGCTGTTTAGTTAACTGTGGAGGGGAAAATTGGAGAGGTAAACTGCAGTAATTGTGGCCAATAGAAACTCACTCATTTTATGAGGTCTTGTGTTTGTGTTTCTGGATAGACAAGAGTTAGTTCAGTTGAGCTGTTCGTTTTGTATTTGTAACCAATACAAGGACTAAGGACAGTTGTGTTGCAACTGAGGTCATGATGTTGATGAATTTTTTTCGTCCTTTGTTCTTTTAAAAATTATGGTTAGAAAGCAGAGCATAATTGTTCTTTATGTAGATCCCAACTGATTGGGGTTTTTAGGGAGATTTTTTGGCATTCAGTAAATGTTTTTGTTTCCTGTGTGACATGATGTGTGTTTTTTACTATTACAGAATATTTTATGTATGGATAGATTTATACATACCAAATTCCCTTTTTTTTTTTTTTTTTTTTTCTGTTTTTTGAGGCAGAGTCTCACTGTGTCGCCCAGGCTGTAATGCTTGGCACCTTCTCGGCTCACTGCAACCTCTGTCTCCTAGGTTCAAATGATTCTCCTGCCTCAGCCTCCCAAGTAACTGGGAGTATAGGTGCCCGCCACCACGCCTGGCTAATTTTTATATTTTTAGTAGAGATGGGATTTCACTCTGTTGGCCAGACTGGTCTTGAACTCCTGACCTCTTGATCCACCCGCCTCAACCTCCGAATGTGCTGGCATTACAGATGTGAGCCACCGCAACCAGTCTACATTTTTTTTAATTAAAAAAATTACATGAAGTTTATTTTTTTGTGGTATCTAGTTCAGTAAATTGTGAGCTCTATAGATTCATGTACCCCCACCATCATCAGGATGGAGAAGTTTCATCACCCCAAAAGCTCCCTTGTGCTGCTGCTTTTTATCACATGTACCCTGGACTTGTATCCTGGCAACCACTGATCTGTTCTTCATCAGTGTAAGGGTATTGTTTTTGAGAATGTCATGTAAGCGGAACCTTTTTTTTTTTTTTTTTTTGAGATGGGGTCTCACTCTGTCACCCAGGCTGGTGTGCAGTGGCGCGATCTCGGCTCACTGCAAAGTCTGCCTCCTGGGTTCACGCCATTCTCCTGCCTCAGCCTCCCTAGAGGCTGGGACTACATGCGCCGCCACCACGCCCGGCTAATATTTTTGTATTTTTAGTAGAGATGGGATTTCATCATGTTAGCTAGGATGATCTTTTTTTTTCTTTTTTTTTTTTTTTTTTGAGACGGAGTCTTGCTCTGTTGCCCAGGCTGGGGTGCAGTGGCCGGATCTCAGCTCACTGCAAGCTCCGCCTCCCGAGTTCACGCCATTCTCCTGCCTCAGCCTCCCGAGTAGCTGGGACTACAGGTGCCCGCCACCTCGCCCGGCTAGTTTTTTGTATTTTTTAGTAGAGACGGGGTTTCACCGTGTTAGCCAGGATGGTCTCGATCTCCTGACCTCGTGATCCGCCCGTCTCGGCCTCCCAAAGTGCTGGGATTACAGGCTTGAGCCACCGCGCCCGGCCTGCTAGGATGATCTTGATCTCCTGACCTTGTGATCCACCTGCCACAGCCTCCCAAAGCACTAGGATTACAGGCGTGAGCCACCGCACTTGGCCCAGTGGAACCATATTTTAAGTAACGTTTTGAAACCATCTTCATTACTCCCAGTTACATGTTTGAGATTTATCTGCTGTTCTGTGTATTAATAGTTGTTTTTATTGCTGAATAATTTAGTATTTCGTCATTTGAATGTACCACATTGTATTTATCCATGATGCTATTTTGGGACCTTGTGGTGGTTTCCATTTTTCTTTCACAATTGTAATCCTGCTGTGAGCCATTCTGCTGCCTCAGCCTCCCGAGTAGCTGGGACTACAGGCGCCTGCCACCACACCCGGCTAATTTTTTTTGTATTTTTAGTAGAAATGGGGTTTCACCGTGTTGGCCAGGATGGTGTCGATCTCCTGACCTTGTGATCCACCCACCTCGACCTCCCAGAGTGCTGGGATTACAGGCGTTAGCCACTGCGCCTGGCCAATAATGTGGTAGTTTTATGTTTAACTTATTATTTATTGTTATTTTTGAGATCAGGTCTCACTCTGTCGCCCAGGCTGCAATGCAGTGATGTAATCTTAGCTAACTGTAGCCTTGAACTCCTGGGCTCAAGTGATCTTCTTGCCTCAGCCTCCCAAGTAGCTAGGACTACAGGTGCGCGACACCATGCTTGATTAATTAGAGACAATCTCACTGTGTTGCCCGGGCTGGTCATATACTCCTGGCTTCAAGCAGTCTTCCTGCCTCAAGACTCCTGAGTTGCTGAGATTCCACACCTGGCACTAGATGTAACTTTTTGCAGAACCAGTAAACTGTTTTCCACAGTGGCTACAGTGTTTTACATTCTTGCAGCAGTATACCAAGATTCCAGTTTCCCCACACCCTCACTAATACTTTTTCTTTTCTTGTCTGATGATAGCCATCCTAATTTGTGTGAGTAGGTAGAGCATCTCATTGTTTTGATTTGCATTTCCCTGTTGATTAGTCATGCTGAACATCTTTTTACATGCTTATTGACCATGAGTATACATTCACTGGAGAAATGTCTATTCAAATCTTTTGCCTTATTTTTATTTTTATTTTTGGAGACGGAGTTTGGCTGTAGTTGTCCAGGCTGGAATGCAGTGGCGCAATCTCAGCTCATTGCAACCTCCGCCTCCTGTGTTCAAGTGATTCTCCTGCCTCAGCCTCCAGAGTAGCTGGGATTACAACTCCTGACCTCAGGTGATCCACCCACCTCGGCCCCCCAAAGTGCTGGAATTGCAGGCATGAACCACTGCACCTGGCCCTTTTGCCCATTTTTGTAATTGACTTTTTGTTTTGGGTTATAGGAGTTCTTTATCATGGATGGACTTTCATAATCTCTTCCCTTTATCCAACCCTATAAAACCCATATATTTATTCTTTGCTTGCTTTATTTTGTATAATTCAATTTTTTAAATGTCTGATGCATTTTCTTTCCAATTAAAAATATACATGGAATAAATGTTTTCTTATAAAAATGTGTAGATTATAAAGTAGAGATTTCACCTGACTGCCCACCCCAATTTCAGTTTTCCTCCAAGAGTTAGCCAGTATTATCCCTTCGGTGTGGCTATTCAGACTTACTTTTCCTTGCATGGACATACATGTGTAAATGTACATGTATTAATATAATTTTTGATGCCAGGCATGGTAGCTCATGCCTGGAATTCCAGCACTTTGGGACCTTGAGGTGAGAGAATTGCTTGAGGCCAGTGGTTGGAAGCTGCAGTGAACTGATTGTGCCGCTACACTCCAGCATGGGTGACAGGGTAAGACCCTGTGTCTTAAAAAAAATCTGTATCTGCGGTTGATAATAGTACCCACCTCGTAGGTTATTATGGGATCAGTACAGAAGGCCAGGCAAAGTGCGTATCCTATTACCTTGCATGTAGTAAGTACCAGTGTAGACCACCTGTTATCCAGAAATTTGCTGAAATATGCCTTGCACTTTCTCTCTTTCCATTTTGATCAGTCTTACTAGAAGTTACCAGTTTGAGTTTTTTCAAAGAGCCAGTTGTTGGTTTTATTGATTTTGTTTTCTTTTTCATTGATTTCTGCTTTATTATTTATTATTTCCATTTTTCTGCTTGCTTTGAGTTCCATTTGCTCTTCTGTCTCTTCTAGTTTCTTAAGGTAAAAAATATTTTTGTGTCTATATATGTAAAGTATATTGTTCTCTAGTTTGTACTGTCTTTAGGTTCAATATCATGCTAATATTAGCTTCTTAAAATGAATTGGGAAGATTTTCATCCTCTAGATTCCAGAAGAGACTGTTTTGAGTCTGTGTTAATGTTGGATGGAATTATCCAGTGAATTCATTTGGGTCTGATAATTTCTTTTTATTGGGATTCTTAGAATTATGAATTCAGTTTTCTTGATAGTGGTAGGGCTATTCAAATGGTCTGTTTTATATTTGGTGAGTTGTGGTAATTTGTATTATTTGAGGAATAAGTCCATTTTGCCCACGTTGTCAAAGTCCTGTGTATAGAGTTGTACCTAGTAATTCCTCATTCTCTTTTTTGATGTCTTTTTTTATTTTTTTTGAGAGAAGTCTCTCTCTTGTCCCCCAGGCTGGAGCGCAATGGCTTTATCGCGGCTCACTGCGACCTCCACCTCCTGGGTTCAGTCGCTTCTCCTGCCTCTGCCTCCCAAGTAGCTGGGATTAAGGTGCCTGTCACCACGCCTGGCTAATTTTTGTATTTTTTAGTAGAGACAGGGTTTCCCTATGTTGGCCAGGCTGGTCTTGAACTCCTGACGTCAGATAATCTGCCCACCTGGGCCTCTTAAAGTGCTGGAATTACAGGTGTCAGCTACTGTGCCCGGTCTTTTTTGATATCTTTAGAGCGCGTTTTCATCAGTAATGTTGGTAATTTATGTCTGGTTTTTTTTTTTCTTTTTTGGGGGGGGGTCAGTCTTGCTTAGAGACGTGTGTCAGTTTTATTAATCTTTTCAAAGAACCAGCTTTTTGCTTTACTGTTTATTTTTTCTGTTTTCACTTTGTTTCTACTCTTACCTTAATTATTTCTTCCTTTCTGCTTACTTTTAGGTTTATTTTGCTATTTTTTTTTCTTTTAGGTTTTCGAGGTGGGCACTTACATTATTGATTTGTTTCCAAGTTTCTAATACCATTTGTTTAGTGCTGTAAATTTCTCTCTCTCACCCACTGCAGGTCTTTCCCATACATTTTGATGTATTGTACTTGCATTTTCTCTCAGTTCAGAATGTATTTTAAAATTTCTCTTGAGACTTCCTCTTTGATCCATGGGTTATTTAGAAGTTTATTGTTTAGTTTCTGAGAGTTAGGCAATTTTCCCGTAATTGTTCTCTTGTTGACTTCTAATTTGTTTCCATTGTTTGAGGGAACGTAGGCCATGTGACTTTAATTCAAAAAATTTGTTAGGTTTGTTTTATGCCTCAGAATATGTTCTAACTTAGTATTTGTTTTGTGGATACTTGAAAAGATTATGTATTCTGCTGTTATTGGCTGGAGTGTTCTATAAATTTTGATTGGATCTAGTTGATCGATGGTGATGGTGAGTTCTATATCCTGGCAGTTTTTCTGTTTCCTAATTTTATCAGCTGTAGAAGAGATTTTGAGGTTTCCAACGATAAAAGTATAAATGTCTTTTTCTCCTTTCAGTTCTGTTCATTGTTTTTGTTTGTTCGGTGTATGCATGTTTCGAATTGCTGCGTCTTAATGGTGGATTGACCAAGGTTTCATTTTGTAATGTTGCCATCTGTTCCTGGTAATATCTTTTTTTGGTTTTGGAGATGGAGTTTCGCTCCTTTTGCCCAGGCAGGAGTGAAGTGGCAGGATGTCAGCTCACTGCAACCTCCGACCCCACCGGGTTCAAGTGATTCTCCTGCCTCAGCCTCCTCAGTAGCTGGAATTATAGGCATCTGCCATCAGGCCCAGCTAATTTTTGTATTTTTAGTAGAGATGGGGTTTTTAGAGATGAGGTTGGGAGTTCGAGATCTGACCAACATGGAGAAACCCCGTCTCTACTAAAAATAGGAAAATTATCCGGGGAATGGTGGCGCAGGCCTGTAATCCCAGTTACTCGGGAGGCTGAGGCAGGAGAATCACTTGGTCCTGGGAGGCGGAGGTTGCAGTGAGCAGAGGTCACGCTATTGGACTCCAACCTGGGCAACAAGAATGAAACCCCATCTAAAAAAGAGAAAAAAGAAAAAAAAAAGAGATGCTTTTGGGCATATGAGTTTTAATTTGTTGATGCCTGTTAATATATCACAGATTTCCTCTATTTGCTAACAGACACTAGAATGTTTAAGGCTTATGTAAATTTGTACTTTTCCAAAATGAAGCTGTCTATTAGACTTTTGCCCTCAGATGTGAAACTACAAGATTGCCAGATGAAACTTATCTTTTGTGTAGTTGGGAGTGTTGACTTTATTTGACTGTGATATGTGACTCCCTGGAGAGCACATAGAAGATACAGGAGGCAGAAAGAAACAAGAGCAAAACCCTGGTCGTCTTGCTCCCCAGAGACAGGAGTGATACTTGTAGCCTGTTTCCTTGTTTTCTTATGTTTTAATTTTTGTGTTGTTTTCCTTTTTTGTTTATTTATGTTTAAATATAGTTGAAATCACATTACGGTTGGCTCTCTGTATCTGTGGGTTTCACAAACACACATTCAACCAACTGTGGATCTAAAATATTGGAAGAAAAGCAGTAAAAACCAAAACAACAATAAAAAATAAAAATAAAAAACAATACAGTATGACAATGAATTACAGAGCATTTGCCTTGTATTAGGTGTTATAGTAATCTAGAGATGGTTTTTCTTATTTGTTTGTTTTGACATGGAGTTCTCACTGTTGCCCAGGGCAGTGGGGCTATCATGGCTCCCTGCAGCCTTGATCTCCTGGGCTCAAGTGATTCTCACACCTCAGCCTCCCAAGTAGCTGGGACTCCAGGCGTGTGTCACAATGCCTAGCTAATTTGTATTTTTTGTAGAGCCAGGGACTCACTGTGTTGCCCAGGCTGGCCTCTAACTCCTGACCTCGAGGGATCTGCCTGCCTTGGCCTCCCAAAGTGCTGGGATTACAAGCCTGAGTCACCACGCCTGGCCGATTTTTTTTTCTGTTTAATTTGTATAGATGGGGTTTTGCCATGTTGCCCGGGCTGGTCTTGAACTCCTGGGCTCAGGCGACCCTCCCGCCTCTACCTCCCAGTGTTGGGAGTATAGGTGTGAGCCACTGTGCCTGGCTGAGATGATTTAAATGACACGGGAGGATGTGCACAGGTTATATGCAAATACCACACCATTTTATATCAGGGTCTTGAGCATCCTAGGGTTTTGGTATGGAGCCAGGGTGGGGCAGGCCTGGTCCCAGTCCCCTGCAGATACCAAGGGACAACTGTACATGTTGTATTTTTGAAAATAGTTTTAGAGTAAATTAAACCAAGTGACAGATGAGATTCCTACCCATTTGGCAATAGGAGTGCCGTGGTTCTTTCCTTCCTTCCTGACCGGCTGTGATGGTCGTGAATCAGAGTGTCATGTATGGGTGGGCGGTAGGTGCTCAGATTCTCCAAGCACTGTTGTGTGTCGAATCAAACTGAGTTCCCTCAGCTGCAGAAATGGCTGAGAGCCCAGCTGCTTTTTCTCTGCTGTTTCCTTTGTGATGACATAGGGTTGGTGGATTAATTGGAATGTATCTTTCATTAAGTGGAAGAACTCCTAAAATTTTTAAAAAGCCTTTTTTTTTTTGAGATAATTGTGGATTCACATACAGTTGTAAGAAACAGCATAGAGATTCCTTTTATTGTTCGCGCCTTTGCCCTCGCTGGTAGCTAGTTGCAAACTACAACACAGCCATCACAACTAGGGTGTTAACTCTGATAGTCTGCCTGTCTTCTTCAGGTTTTCCCAGTTTTACATGCTCTTAATTGTGTATTTCTTTGCAGTTTTTTCAGGTGTGGATTTTCTGAGACCACCACTGCAATCAGGGTACATGGACAAGGGCCGTTTATACCCACGTTCACGTATTCTCTCCACCTTAACTGCTGGCAACCACTCATCTGTTCTCTGTGTCTATTAGGTGATTTTTTTGACATTGGGTTTTTAATTTTGTATTATTGTTATTATTGTAATTTTTGGAGACGGGGTCTCACCCTGATGCCCAAGCTGGAGTGCAGTGATACAGTCATAGCTCACTGCAGCCTCAAACTCCTGGGCTCAAGCCGTCCTCTCATTTCAGCTTCCTGAGTAGCTGGGACCACAGATGCACGACACCACACCCGGCTAATTTTGTATTTGTAGTGACTGGGGTCTTGTTATGGTTCCCAGGCTTGTCTTGAACTCCTGGCCTCAAGCAAGATTGAGTTTTTTTCACTCAGCATAATCCCCTTGACATTTTCCCAAGGGGGTCGTTTCATGTATCATTATTGCTGAGTAGTTTTTTTTGTTTTGTTTTGTTTTGTTTTTGAGTCTCATGTTTTCACCCAAGCCAGGCTGGAATGCAGTGGTGCAATCTTGGCTCACTGCAACCTCCACCTCCTCCCAGGTTCAAGCAATTCTGCCTCAGCCTCCCAAGCAGCTGGGACTCCAGGCGTGCACCACCACACCCGGCTTATTTTTGTATTTTTAGTAGAGATGGGGTTTTGCCATGCTGGCCAAGCTGGTCTCCAACTCCTGACCTAAAGTGACTTGCCCACCTCTGACGACACTTGACCCATGTGCTTTTTTATATAAGGACTGTGTGTCCTGTTACATGTCTGTGTCTTGTCGTGTTCATATTTCTCATTTAGGAGCAAAGATTTCCGTCTTCCAGGTACCCAGTGCCCTTCTCAGAGGTTCTTGTGTTTCCTCTCTCAGCTCCCGGTGCATTATTCAGGCACTTATGGATAAGCATGTACTGATGCCCCAGCCAGCTGTGATCTTCATTGCCATTTTTATTACACATTGTATCTTGGGGAGATCCTTCTATAACATCCTTTTTTTGTTTTTTGTTTGTTTGCTTGTTTTGTTTTGTTTTTGAGATGGAGTCTTGCTCTGCCTCCCAGGCTGGAGTGCAGTGATCTTGGCTCACTGCAACCTCCATCTCCCAGTTTCAAGTGATTCTCCTGCCTCAGCCTCCGAGTAGCTGGGATTACAGGCACGCCACCACCACACCTGGCAAATTTTTGTATTTTTAGTGGAGACAGGGTTTCATCATGTTGGCCAGGCTGGTCTTGAACTCCATATTACCTGTTTTTATAGGATTTCCCCTGATTGTAAAGCAAATTTTAGTAAATTTGGAGAATATAGTTTATAGTAGCAATACTATAATATATATATGTTACAAATATGATATTGTATAAAGTTAAAAATATAATTGTTGTGCATGATTGAGTTGAGATTATATGTTCATTTTTGTATTCTAGCCTTTTCTGTCTTGTACAGGATGATTTTTATGGTGAGCCATTTGCATAACCTTTTATAACATGCAGAATGAAACTGACTTGTGAAATTAACATACACAAGTAGTGAAAAGCTTTAAAAGACACAGGAGGGTGATGAGCACTTCCCTTAGAAGAGGACGACTCCTCACGGGGTGGGTTAGGCACACAGGGCTTCACCCTCAGCCAGGAGCAGACCCTGAGTGGAGGACGCTGGAGCTGGGGCGAGCCCGGCTACCCCGTGGGGCTCTGCTGCTCTTCTTCCAGCTCCTCTCTGGCCTGGTCTCTCCTGTGGGTTTTATCCTCCCTCCGTTTATGTATTTATCTGCTTATTGTCTGCTTCCTCCCATTAGACTCTCACTTTGTGAGGTCATTTCATGAGCCTTTTCCCAAGATGTTTAAAATTCCTTGTACATTTCTTTGATTCTTAAAGAGAAAACTTTTCCTTTACAAAAGACGTTTGATGAAAGTTGTTAAACAACAAAACTAAAAATGCACTTGTAATCCTGTCATGTGAGGAAAACCATTGGTTGGATTTTGGTACACACCCTTTCATAGTATTGATTTTATGTAGTATCTGCACCCTCCGCTGCTGACTGGTTATATGTTCCGTGTGTCGTCTGCAGTTCCGGGCCTGCGGGCAAAGGCGTGGAGGGGCTCGCCAGAGTGGGATCCCGAGCGATGCTGTCTTTCACCTTCGCCTTCCTGCGCAGGGCCTGGCGATCAGGTACGGTCCCTGGTGTTGCGCGTGGTTCTTCCCTAATGCACCAACAGTCTGGGTTTTGAGTTCGGTTCAGCCACCCTGTGCCCTTCGGCTGATCCCATGTGCTCTCTGCCCCTCAGTTTTCTTGCTTGTGAGATGAGAGGCTGCAGAGGCTGTTTGGCTTTTCATGTCTGTGCTTTAGAGAAAAAAAAAGAGCAAGTGCATGCACCCTCCACCCCACGCCAGCCACTACCATGGAACACTGAGTACGAACTTAATTCTAGAAGAACAAGAAGTTAGTGTAGTGCTCATGTGACAGCCACGAAACACAGAATTGACTGGAGCAGCTGTGCTAGATTTTGGCCTGTTGAGTGAGGGATTAGAAAGGGGACAGTGGCATCTTCTCTCGCTGAGGGCTGGGAAGCCCAGCGGGAGAGGGGAGTAGTGGGGGCTACTCTGACGCGTGTGTGCGCCCAGGCGAGGATGCGGACCTCTGCAGTGAGCTGTTGCAGGAGTCCCTGGATGCCCTGGGAGCACTTCCCGAGGCCTCGCTCTTCGACGAGAGCACCGTGTCCTCTGTGTGGCTGGAGGTGGTGGAGAGAGCGACCAGGTTCCTCAGGTCTGTCGTGACTGGGTGAGTTCTTTCCTTTCTTGCCTTCTGCTTGCAGACAGCTGGCCTGCTGGAGGCTTGTTCTTACCACCCTTGCTTTAGAGCTAAGAGGCCTAGTAGGTTGGTTTCTCGCCTGTTTTAAGTGGGCTCTCGGTGCTGTGATTCCGAGTCTGGGATCTCAGCTTTTCTGGTGATTCAATTTATGATCCTCTGACTAGACCCAGGAAGCTGTGATACTAAATGAGACGACGAGGGAGGATGCTTAGAGTTTTGACCATCAGTCATCCGTAGAGGGTTGAGCGCTGACATTGTGTGTCTCTCTGTGATGATTAGGAGCTGCTGTTCTGAGTGCAGAGTGGCACTTGGCTTGAAGTCTTATAGATAATGTGGGGGGTAAACAACTACTCAGGATCAAATTGTTTAGTCCTGTAACTGATGTTTTTAGTGTAAAACATTTTGAATAGGAATCATTTGTGTGTGAGGAAAACCATGAACTCTGGTCTTGGGTGCTAGGCATTGTTGTTAAGGTTTTTAAATGTAAAGGAATTCAACAGGAAGGACAGGTGCAGAGGAAAAGTGAGGTCGCTCCTCACTCTCCTTGCCGGAGGTCAGCACTGTGCCTTCTTCCAGCGGGCAGGAGGCCTTTGGCGTTTGCGCCCCCGGCTCTGAGTCCACTTCCTGAGCCTGCTGGTGAAGTTTCCATACACATGTTCACAGTGGGGTTTACAAAATTCCTCTAGAAAACACTTCAAGCATTGTGGGTAAGAGATTTTTAGTCTAGTTTTTCAAAATACGTAAACTGAGAAGTTATTTTGTCTATTTATACTTTTGAGTTTATACAATTGAGTTTTATTTATACAATTGAGTTTTATTCAGTGTTTAATAAGACTTTGAAATTCATTCATTTTTAGGGGTTCTAAGTGAAAATTGTTTTTCTCCTTTCAGTTGCATGCTGCCATTAGTCACCAGGTTGACCCGGAATTCCTTGGTTTAGGTCTGGGCAGCGTCCTCCTGAACAGCCTGAAGCAGACGGTGGTGACCCTGGCCAGCAGCGCGGGCGTACTGAGCACCGTGCAGTCGGCCGCCCAGTCCGTGCTGCAGAGCGGCTGGTCCGTGCTGCTGCCCACCGCCAAGGAGCGGGCCGAGCACTCTCTGCTCTCCTGCCCTGTGCAGGTGGGCTTGGGGAAGGAACAGGAGAGGGCATGGGTCATGGTGCTGGGAGGGGATGGCATTTCACTCAAATTGGCACACACTTTCTTTTTTTTTTTTTTTTTTTTGAGACGGAGTCTCGCTCTGCCGCCCAGGCTGGAGTGCAGTGGCCGGATCTCAGCTCACTGCAAGCTCCGCCTCCCGGGTTCACGCCATTCTCCTGCCTCAGCCTCCTGAGTAGCTGGGACTACAGGCGCCCGCCACCGCGCCCGGCTAGTTTTTTGTATTTTTTAGTAGAGACGGGGTTTCACCGTGTTAGCCAGGATGGTCTCGATCTCCTGACCTCGTGATCCGCCCGTCTCGGCCTCCCAAAGTGCTGGGATTACAGGCTTGAGCCACCGCGCCCGGCCGGCACACACTTTCTATTTCAGTTTCAGGCAATGATGTGAACATAAGTCCAGGTCGTCGATTCATGATTGATCTTCTGGTGGGCAGCTTGATGGCTGATGGAGGGTTGGAATCAGCCTTACACGCAGCCATTACTGCAGAGATCCAGGTATGGCCTTCGAGGCACACGTGACCTGATGGTGCTCTTGAGATCGGAAATACCACATTCACACGTGTGAAAAATAACTGAAAACAGTAAAACTAAACTCGTATCATATTCGAGTATTTTTTAAATTATTTTATGTGCTAATTTAAACAATTATGGAGATATGATTTAATTGTGATGAAATCCTGCATGTTGTCTGTTTCAGTGAATTTAACAGGTAACCTGTCCATCATGTAGACCGTTCCCGTCACCCGGAAAGATCCCTATGCCCCTTGGCACTCGCAGCCGGGACGCTCCCCTGCCCTCAGATGAGATTCATTTCCCTGCTCTGAGTGTTGCAGCAATGTAGCTGCAGAGGCTGCACTCTTTCCTGCGTTGCCGTGGAGAAGGATTTTCAGATTCACTCACACTGTTGTGTGTCTTGTGACTTGGTTTTTATTATGGGAAGTTTTCCATTTTATAGGTGTAGTGCTGGTTGTTAGTTCATTCTTCTACTGAAGGACATTTAATTGCTTTTGGTTTTTGTATTCTTTTTTTTTTTTTTTTTTTGAGACAGTCTCGCTCTGTCGCCCAGGCTGGATGCAGTGACCTGATGTTGGCTCATGGCAGCCTTGTCCTCCTCGGCTCAAATGATCCTCCCACCTCAGCCTCCTGTGTTGCGGGGACCACAGGCGTGTCACCATGCCCGGCTAGTTTTTTGATTTTTTTGTGGAGACAAGGTTTCAGTGTGTTGCCCAGGCTGGTCTCGAACTCCTGGGCTCAAGTGATCCCCCACCTTGGCCTTCCATAGTGTTGGGATTACAAGCGTGAGCCACCGCGCCCAGGCTTTCTGGTTTTTGGCCGCGTAGAGCTGCCATGATTGTGCTGTGTACAGGTACTTCAGTGAGCATATGTTCTCCCTTAGGGTAAACACTTGGAGTGAAATTTGTTAGGTCTTGGGGTCCGTGTGTGTTCATAGTTTCCCAGAGTGGCTTTGCCATTTACACTTGAACCAGTGTGTGTGAGAATTACAGCAGCTTCTTATCCTCACAAAGCAGCTGGATGCTGCGTGTGTGGGGCGGATCACGTGGGTGTTTGTGAGAGCCAGTGGCAGGGTTATAGATTTTAGGGACTTCACAGAAGGAGGCTGGAGAGCGTCAGCAGAGGCAGCCTGGACCTTGGATCTGTAAAAGGAAGACACTGTTTGAAAATGCACAGCTGAGTTGGGGTTTCCAACAGGGCAGGTGGGGTCCTGTGGGTAGGTGTGTGTGGTAGCACACACAGGCTGGGATAGCTTGGCACTGGGGTCAGGGCTCAGCCAGCCTGTGTGCTTCACACCTGCTAATGAGATCCCTTGTAAACAATTTCTGTTTACAAATTACAGGATATTGAAGCCAAAAAAGAAGCACAGAAGGAAAAAGAAATTGATGAACAGGAAGTGAATGCCTCAACGTTTCACAGAAGCAGGACTCCATTGGATAAAGACCTTATTAATACGGGGATCTGTGAGTCTTCTGGCAAACAGTATTTGCCTCTGGTTCAGCTCATGCAACAGCTTCTTAGGTAAATTGTATTAGCAGTATTGTAGTGTATTTTATTTACTTAATTTTTTTTTTTTGTGAGACAGCATTTCGCTCTCGTTGCCCAGGCTGGAGTGCAATGGCGCAATCTTGGCTCACCGCAACCTCCGCTTCTCAAGTTCAAGTGATTCTCCTGCGTCAGCCTGTCAAGCAGCTGGGATTACAGGCATGTGCCACCATGCCCAGCTAACTTTGTAGTTTTAGTAGAGACGGAGTTTCTTTATGGTGGTGAGACTGGTCTTGAACTCCCGAGCTCAGGTGATCCGCCCACCTTGGCCTCCCAAAGTGTTGGGATTACAGGCATGAGCCACCACGCCTGGCTTATTTATTTACTTGTTAATTTTTTTTTTTTTTTTTTTGAGATGGAGTCTCACTCTATCGCCCAGGCTGGAGTGCGGTGTCACAATCTTGGCTCACTGCAACCACCACTGCCTGAGTTCAAGCGATTCTCCTGCCTCAGCCTCCTGAGTAGCTGGGACTACAGGTGTCCGCAACCACACCTGGCTGATTTTTGTATTTTTAGTAGAGACGGGGTTTCACCATATTGGTCAGGCTGGTCTCAAACTCCTGACCTCAGGTGATCCATCTGTTTTGGCCTCTCAGAGTGTTGGGATTACAGGCGTTAGCCACTGTGCCTGGCCTTTATTGTATTTTAATGAGTGATTGTTGTTTTTCATATTAAGATAATGAAATCCAGCACAAGAATCTCAAAAATTGGTGATTGAAGGGATATTCTGAAAATTACCTAGTACAGACGTTAGGATAAAGAGCAGACCCTTTTCAACGTAGGTAAGAGGAGAAGTTGGAGGGTATGATGATACTCAAAAGTTTTTCACAGAAGAGAAATTGGGGTGTGCAGTAAACATGTGAAAAGATTCTTAGTAATAAGCAGGTGGATGCAAATGAAAATCATCATGGGAAGGTTATTTTTAAAACTGGTTCTATCATTGCCTCACTTTACGTATTACAGCATTATACATACTACTGTGTAAGATAACTTTTCTTTTCAAAACTAAAGTCAATGTGAAAGAATGATGAGCATTGTTTTGTAAGGCCAGACTAGAAGGAGGTGGGAAGAAGTCAGACTCAGCCTGTGAACAGAGGCTAACCTTGGCAGAAGCCAAAACATTCAGACAGTGTTGTGTAAAAAGGATCACTCAAGAAGAGCGGAAAAGCAAGATGATTTGTGAAAGAGATTTATTAGAAAATGAAACACATTTGTACCTCTTATTTAATAAAAATCTGCTTTTTGTAAAGTTGGGCTTCTGGTTTTAGTTTCTACACATAGAGAAAGCAAAGAACTGGCAAGTTGCATCAGGCAGCCGAGCACAGAGCAGGGAGCCCTGGGAAGTGGCCGCAGCTCTCAGCCGGCCTGGTCATGGGGCCGTGGTGGGTCTGTGGCGTGGGGTGGCTCTGCTGTCCACAGCCAGAAAAATGAACTTAGTGGACACAGTGAAATTTTGAAACGGGAAGTTTTTAGAGCTAGTTTCTATCATGGATTTTAGTAAATGCTATTTCGAAAAGCATTTTTGTGATGTTTATTTTGTTTTTCTAATCTGATAATGCATATTTCACGCATTCTGGTCTTTAACCAATGGAAATTAGTGAACTAAACTTAATATAGTTTCTGTTAAGGGAAAGATCCTGGGATTTGTTCTCAGAAAATTTCAGTTGGAACAACTTGTTCACATAGGTGAACTTCCAACTCAGTAACTATGGGAATAAGAAAGCTGTGTTTACTTTCACAGAGTTCATTAAGAATAAATGAGAAAGTGGATGTTAACAACTTTGCAATTAGTAAAGTTACATGCAAAGTTTTCTTTTTTTTTTTTTTTTTTTTTTTTTTGAGACGGAGTCTCGCGCTGTCACCCAGGCTGGAGTGCAGTGGCCGGATCTCAGCTCACTGCAAGCTCCGCCTCCCGGGTTCACGCCATTCTCCTGCCTCCGCCTCCCGAGTAGCTGGGACTACAGGCGTCCGCCACCTCGGCCAGCTAGTTTTTTGTATTTTTTAGTAGAGACGGGGTTTCACCGTGTTAACCAGGATGGTCTCGATCTCCTGACCTCGTGATCCGCCCGTCTCGGCCTCCCAAAGTGCTGGGATTACAGGCTTGAGCCACCGCGCCCGGCCACATGCAAAGTTTTCAAGTGAGCATTTTCCAGAGGTGCTTTTCTAGGTTCTTGAATGCCTCTCCGTTGTCTGAGGCTGCGTCATGGGCTGTTGGTGTCTTTGGCGGGGGGTGAGTGCAGGGTTCCTGTTGTGGGTCCTTCGTTCTCACGAGGGCAGTGCCCGTTTTCCCCATCTCCTGCTTGCTCAGACTGTTTCCATGTGCAGAGACACTGGCCTGTTTGAGCTGCAGCTGTGCTATTTGAGCTGCAGCCGTGTAGCCTGTGCTGGCCAGTCTGGCTGCACTCACACAGTTTGCTGATCAGCACTTGAAGTGTGTCCATCGTAGCTGAGACACTGAATATTTTATCTGTTTAATTTTTATTAAAATACAGATTTTAAAACTCGATTCTGTTATTAGGAAGCATGTAAGTGTGTTTAGAATAACTGGGCCATGTGAGTCTACTTTGTCACCTGTATATTTTATGAATCTAAGTGCGGATCAGATATTTTCAATGCAAATCTCACTGTCCAGACTGAAATGTGCTGCATGTGTAAGCTACCCCGATGGTTTTTGAGGACTTATGAAATAACCTGTGTAGCCGGGCGCGGTGGCTCATGCCTGTAATCCCAGCACTTTGGGAGGCCGAGGTGGGTGGATCACGAGGTCAGGAGATCCAGACCATCCTGGCTAACACGGTGAAACCCCGTCTCTACTAAAAATACAAAAAATTAGCCGGGCGTGGTGGCGGCGCCTGTAGTCCCAGCTACTCGGAGGCTGAGGCAGGAGAATGGCGTGAATCCGGGAGGTGGAGCTTGCAGTGAGCCGAGATCGCGCCACTGCACTCCAGCCTGGGTGACAAAGCGAGACTCCGTCTCAAAAAAAAAAAAAAAAAAAAGAAAGAAATAACCTATGTAAAATAACAATTTTTCTTATATTGATTTGATGTTGAAATGGTAATGCTTTCAATCTGTTGGGATAAGTATGATACATTATTAAAATTATTTTTAGTTTTTGAGATGGAGTCTTGCTCTGTTGCCCAGGCCAGAGTGCACTGGCACAATCTTGGCTGGACAGCACCCTGATCAGCACCATTTCCCGCCTCAGCAGGGCAGTCTCCTTACAGGGAACTTAACGAGGCACAAAAGAAGGCTCAGGGGACAGGGAGGACTTCTGCTGGGAAAAGGCTCCTAGACCCGGTTCTGCCTCTGACTTGCTGGGGGTCCTGGAGAAAGTTGCTTCCCCTCTGTGGTCTCAGTTTCCTCAGGTAAGAAATGAGGGGTTGGGCCAAATGGTCTAAGGTTTGGGGAACCTCTAAGTCAGAGCTCGTAGCTGCTGGTCAAGATGAGGGAGAGGCTCTCAGGGTCAGCCGAATGCCTGAGAGGCAAGACAGGCCCAAAGGTGAGCACCCTGAGCACATCAGGTGGGCTCGGAGCTGGTGCATCAGCCCCACATTCTGCAGAGCAGCCCTGGACTCGGGAGCCCGCTCACACCAGCCCGGTGGGACTTGAAAGATGTGAGGGTCCAGCCTCTCCTACTGTTGCAGGGCTGGGGTCTGGGAGCTGCAGATTCTGACCCCACAGCTACCTTAGACATGCCAGACGGGCTGGGCAGGACACACCCTCTCTATGAAATGAGCAGACAGTCCAAATAGATACACTAGAGAAGGGCTGTGGGAAGGACCCAGCGCCACTGACTGCACTGGGTGCCTCCCACAGCCACTAAAGGCAGAGTAGCTTGTTATAGATTAGCCTCCCCACAAGAGCAGTTAGAAAAACTGGACAAAAATGTGCCCCAATCAAAAACAATTATTTGAAGGTAATTGGAGACCTCAGCCAGGATTTGAGTGACCAGGCCTGGGAGGTGACCCTGACAGTCTGTAGTGCTTTCCCACACTTGGTGATTGGTCAACAGTAGAGGGCTAAGAGGCTAAGAAACTTGAGTATGAAGTGGTAGTGAACAGGCTGGAGAGCCTAGCTGAATGTTTGGCACTCACAGGGCTCAAATGACATAATGAGAATTTGGATCCCAGTAAGGAGATGGGACCCTGGAAGGGCCACCCCTAGGAGAAGAAATTAATAAAAAATAGACCAGCCGTCACAAAAACTAAAACCTGCTTTGAACCAGCTTAGTCCCAAACTGGATGAAGGTGATCTGCCCTTACTCCAATTGTGTGCCATAAAGTCAAAGTCAATACTCTCTCTCTTGGCCGGGCGCGGTGGCTCAAGCCTGTAATCCCAGCATTTTGGGAGGCCGAGGCGGGCGGATCACGAGGTCAGGAGATGGAGACCGTCCTGGCTAACACGATGAAACCCTGTCTCTACTAAAAAATACGAAAAAAAAAAATAGCCGGGCGTGGTGGCGGCGTCTGTGGCCCCAGCTACTCAGGAGGCTGAGGCAGGAGAATGGCGTGAACCCGGGAGGCGGAGCTTGCAGTGAGCTGAGATCCGGCCACTGCACTCCAGCCTGGGCAACAGAGCGAGACTCCGTCTCAAAAAAAAAAAAAAAAAAAAAAGTCAATCCTCTCTCTGGAGGCAGGTAACAGTTTCCTAGCCACGCCATAAGACAAGACAACACAAGACTAAACAAGAAAGAGCAAGCAAAAAGACAATGCAAACATACATAGATATTATTGTCCTCAGGTAGAAACTTTTTTTTTTTTTGAGATGGAGTCTCGCTCTGTCACCCAGGCTGGAGTGCAGTTGCGTGATCTCGGCTCACTGCAGCCTCAACCTCCCGAGTAGCTGGGATTACAGGCGTGCGCAACCATGCCCGGCTAACTTTTGTGTTTTTAGTAGAGACGGGGTTTCATCATGTTGTCCAGGCTGGTCTTGAACTCCTGACCTCAGGTGATCCACCCGCCCAGGCCTCCCAAAGTGCTGGAATTGCGGGTGTGGGCCACCGTGCCCGGCCAGTATTTTATCACAATTTAACATAAATTTTCTTTTTTCTTTTTTTCAAGTTTATTCTCAGACTATATTCACACAGTGACATGGTGGCTTACACTTCTGTAGGCCTTGTTGACAGTGCCGGCTCTTAGATGTCGATGATCTTCATCTTCTTCTTGTCTCCTCGGTAGAAGAATGGGATGCAGGAGTTGCTGCCTAAGCCTGGGCGCTCCTGGGCGTTCTTCATCCCACGAGGCAGCTGCACGACCTGTGCAGTGGGGCTGTCGTGGGGAGAACCGTCCCCAGCCTCTCCTCGCGCAGACGCCATGCTGCTAGCGTGGCTTGTATCACAAAGATCTTTGGAGGGAGGGACGCAGGGCGCTGAGCACCTCTCCTTGTGCTCTGGCAGCTTCTCCTCCTGGTCTCGCATCCTCTCTTCCTTCTCCCGCATCTTCTCCTCCTGCCCCCGCATCTTCTCCTCGTGCTCCCGTATCGTCTCCTCCTGCTCCTGCATTTTCTCCTGTTTCCACAGCTCCTCCTCCTGTTCTGGCAGCCTCTGCTGCTCCTGCATCTTCTCCACCAGCTCCTTCGTCTTCTCCATCTGCTCTCGCATCTCCTCCTGCTCCCGCATCATCATCTCCTCCCACATCTCCTCCTGCTCCCACATCTTCTCCTCCTCCTCCTCTCGCATCTTCTCCTCCTGCTCCCACATCTCCTGCTGCTTCTGCATCTTCTCCTCCTGCTCCTGCATCCTCTCCTCCTTTGCCCGCAGCCTCTGGTACTGCTCCCACATCCTCTCCTCCTGCTCCCTCATCTTCTGCTCCTGCTTGTGCATCTGCTCCTCCTGCTCGTGCAGTTCCTGCTCCTGCTCCCGCAGCCTCTCCTCCTGTCTCCACATCTTCTCCTCCTGTCTCCACATCATCTCCTCCTGCTCCCGCATCTTCTGCTCCTGCTCGTGCATCTTCTGCTCCTGCTCGTGCATCTGCTTCTCCTGCTCCCGCAGCTCCTGCTCCTGCTCCCGTAGCCTCTCCTCCTGTCTCCACATCATCTCCTCCTGCTCCCGCATCTTCTGCTCCTGCTTGTGCATCTGCTCCTCCTGCTCCCGCAGCCTCTCCTCCTGTCTCCACATCTTCTCCTCCTGCTCCCACATCTTCTCCTCCTGCTCCCGCATCTTCTGCTCCTGCTCGTGCATCTGCTTCTCCTGCTCCCGCAGCTCCTGCTCCTGCTCCCGCAGCTCCTGCTCCTGCTCCCGCAGCCTCTCCTCCTGTCTCCACATCTTTTCCTCCTGCTCCTGCATCTTCTGCTCCTGCTCGTGCATCTGCTCCTCCTGCTCCCGCAGCCTCTCCTCCTGTCTCCACATCTTCTCCTCCTGCTTCCACATCTGCTCCTCCTGCTTCCGCATCTGCTTCTCCTGCTCCCGCAGCTCCTTCTCCTTCTCCCACAGCCTTTCCTCCTGTCTCCACATCTTCTCCTCCTGCTCTCGTATCTTCTCCTCCTGCTCCCATATCTTCTTCTCCTGCTCCCGCAGCTTCTCCTCCTGCAAAGTGTTGGTTTCAACCTCAAAAGGAAATAGACTCATGAGCTAGCTATATAAATGTAATCTATAAAATAACGGTTTTCATCTATGATTCTTTTTTTTTTTTTTTTTTTTTTGAGACGGAGTCTCGCTCTGTCACCCAGGCTGGAGTGCGGTGGCCGGATCTCAGCTCACTGCAAGCTCCGCCTCCCGGGTTCACGCCATTCTCCTGCCTCAGCCTCCCGAGTAGCTGGGACTACAGGCGCCCGCCACCTCGCCCGGCTAGTTTTTTGTATTTTTTAGTAGAGACGGGGTTTCACCGTGTTAGCCAGGATGGTCTCGATCTCCTGACCTCGTGATCCGCCCGTCTCGGCCTCCCAAAGTGCTGGGATTACAGGCGTGAGCCACCGCGCCCGGCCTCATCTATGATTCTTTAAAAAAAAATTTAAGCACTAACCCTGATGTTCTGATTCCCCTGGCAGGGCCACAATTTGTAGATTTTTAGCACACTCTAGATGGTTGTATGGTGGGATCAGAACAAGGACCCAAATTTTCCAGCTCTTGGCTGGACCCTCCCTATACCCTGCATGATCCCTAGACCATGGTCCCAGCTGGGTGGAGCTTTCACAACCGCGGGGGCTGCAGTCTCTTACCTGTGGCAGCAGGATTTTGTCCCTCTCCAGCTTCATTTTTAGCTCCTTTACGTTGAGCTGGATCTCAGACTTCTCAGATTTTACAAGTCGAAGTTTTTCTTGTAGTTCGGCATTTTTCGCCTTCAGCTCCTCGTTGGTTATGCTGTGACCGGAGGCCATGGAGAAAGGAATGAATTAAGAACAGAAAGGACTGCTTTGGTGATCAACCCTGTACCTTCGCCCCACAACAGAACTGTGGCATTGGAAGGGACCCCAGGAACTAAAAGTCGCAGGTGGCAGGCCAGAGAGAAGACATGAGTTGCCTGAGGCTACCCCATGAGTCAGTGGCACAGCCGGCACTAGAGCTTCCCCGCGCACACATGAAAACCTGTTTGAGCCTCTCACCATGCTCACCTGTACCCCCACCTCCCAGCACACCCCCCACGCTGAGGGCCCCCAGACCTCCCATTCCACCTTCCCCCATCCTACGTGTTCCTGTACAGTTCCAGACTCAGGGCGTCCCTCTCCTTTGTTAACTCCTCGATGTACTGCAAATAGAGAAAGGTGAAGTCAGGATAGAGCAGGCAGAGGAGTGGCTGGCCGACCAGGAACAACAGCCACAGTGACCACTCCACACACCACTCCCCACTCCCAGTCACACCTGACATGCTCTCAAGGCACTTCCAAGCCCAGGATCTCATTTGTTTTTCTTCTTTTTCTTTTTTTCTTTTTGTTCAGATGGAGTTTTGCTCTTGTAGCCCAGGCTGGAGTACAATGTTGCAATCTCACCCTACCACAACCTCCGCCTCCCAGGTTCAAGTGATTCTCCTGCCTCAGCCGCCCAAGTAGCTGGGATTACAGGTGTGAGCCACCACACCTGTCTCTCACTTGTTTTTCAAAGAACTCAGTAAGGGTGGAAGGGACAGGGAAAGAGATTGAATTGATAGCTGGCTAACAGGGGCCCAGAGAGATCAGATAAGATTGCTGCTGTTATTACTGTTACTACTCCCACTGTCAGAACCTTTGAGTGCTTCACCAGGCACTGCACTAACCCATTCAATCCTCGCAACCTCCATAGGAGACGGTTACCATTATTACCTCTATTGTGTAGATGAAAAACATGGGGTACTGAAGGTTAAGGGGTTGTCTAAGATCACTTAGACAGAGCTGGGCTTTCAACACCCAGGTATATCTGATTCTGTAAGCCCATTCCTTCGCTGGGGGTAGGGCACAGATAAGGAGGAGGAAATTAATCCTTTGTTGACTCTTTGAAAGAATGATACATTGGCGTAGTCCAAAACTCAGAAGGTACAGAAGGGAAATACCTCCCATACACACTGTTCCTGTCTCCTGAGTTTTTTATGAATCCTTACACATATGTTTTAGGTATATTAGCATACTACGTAGCCACACACATGTATGTTTGTTCCCTCTTTCTACACAAATGGTAACATTCTAAAGATACTCTTCTGTATCTTCATGGTACAAGTACACTAACCCCTGCCTAGGACTTAGCAAAGGCCACAGCCACGTCTGGGCAGGGTGGGCTCTTGGCCTTGGAGCTCTGTGTCCGGTGCTCGTTCCCCACAGCACCCTGCAGCTAACCCGCAGCAGCCGACTCAGCCCCAACCTGCCTCTAATATCCACACCCAAAAGCAGTACTAAAAGGTCCATGCTGCCTTCTGGACAGGACACTGCATTGTGCAGAGGGGACCTTTAGGGTCATTCCTCCATCTGTGAAACTGGGCTCCCAGGGGACCGAGCAGGTGGTTAGACTCACCCTGTCCGCCTTCTTGTGCTGTGTGGACACAGCAGACAGAGCCTGCTGTAACTCTCCTGCAAAGTGCCAGGAACGATGCAGGCGACCGGCCAGATCCTTGGACTCTCCTGGAATGAGAGAGGTTGAGATGTGGCACAAAGGACTCCCCCTAAAGGCCTGTGAAAGTGCCAGGTTGAAGGATTACCGGGTGCCCAGATTCCCACCTTCACATTTCCTGGCAGCCTCCTGGCTGAAGTAGAGCCCTGTCTCCAGTTCAGTCTTCTGACTCGTAAGGATTCGTATAGTATGATCCTGGGTCTTTGGGAGAAAAGACAAGCAAGTGCTGAAAGAGAAGCAAAGAAACCTTCTCCAGAGGACAGGAGGGAACTTCACCCCCTCCACTCACCTCTAGCTCCCTCCTTAGGGCTTCCTGATGTTGGTGGCTTGCCGCCTTTTCCTATAGGAAGAGGAAGACAGAGCTCTTACCAGGGGGAGGCAGAGATGGCACAGCAAGAGATGCCCCCAGAATGGCACCACTGCCCCAGGACAGGCCCACCCATGGGGCCAGGTTATCAGGGACCCTGTGGGGATGGGGTGGAATGTGGGGGGTGAGCCTTCATCCCCAGTCTGGGAGTGGGCCAGGCGAGACTGGGGCCTCTACATCTGAGTGCCCCCCAAACCCAGCAGTCATGTGAGCAAACAAAGAAATCATGTTACTTCTTCCAGCTGGGCTCAGTTCTGTTGTTTCTGTGGGGAGAGTCGAAGGGAGGTGACTGAGGGTGGCCCCCTCGACTCTATTCCTCAAGTCAGGAAGCGGTAGGCAGGGGCCAGGGATGGATTTTAAATGCAAAGTTATCAGACCCAATGGGAACACGAACTGGTCAACTCTCAACTGCCAAAAAAAAAAAAAATGGATTTGGGTCTTTGTTGGTTTTTGCCCACAGCCACAGAACTGAAAGGCTGAAACTAGATTTTCTGGAAAAGACACTAACATAAACCTTCAGAGATGGAGTGTGAGAAAAGCCCACCCTTCTGCCAGCTTGTGATTTAGAAAGGTGCATTCATTCAGCAAACATTGACCAAGCACATACAGGCCAGGGACGGTTCTTCACAGCTGGGATATGGGACAGCTGGGATACAGGACGGAAAAGGCAGACAGAAGCTCTTGGCCCCCAGGTTTCCATTCTAGTGAATCTTTAAATCTCAGACTCTCCGAGCAAACAGAAACCTGTGATACTCTTATAACTCTACCTCCACAGGAAATGCAAGTTCAAAAGAGGAGAGGAGTTTACAGCAGGCCCTGGCCTAGGGATTAACACAAAAGCAACAACAATAACAAATCTGATTCAAACCTCACAAATATAAGTAAAACATTACCATCCCTATTTTATAGATGTGAAAAGAGAGGCCCAAAGAGCTCAAGCAATTTGCCGTAAATCATGTTCCTAGTAGATGGAGAGGTAGGATTCAAACCCAGAAATCTTTTTTTTTTTTTTTTGAGACGGAGTCTCGCTCTGTTGCCCAGGCGGGAGTGCAGTGGCCGAATCTCAGCTCACTGCAAGCTCCACCTCCCAGGTTTACGCCATTCTCCTGCCTCAGCCTCCTGAGTAGCTGGGACTACAGGCGCCCGCCACCTCGCCTGGCTAGTTTTTTGTATTTTTTAGTAGAGACCGGGTTTCACTATGTTAGCCAGGATGGTCTCAATCTCCTGACCTCGTGATCCTCCCATCTTGGCCTCCCAAAGTGCTGGGATTACAGGCTTGAGCCGCTGCGCGCGGCCAAACCCAGAATTCTTAACCAGTACCCGGCAGTTCTTCCTTCCACAATCTTAACAGTTACCTTCTACCCGCCCCTCGTGCCCCTGACCTCAGGAGACCAGCCAACCAAGACTCACATCCTCAGGTGAATGGCAACCAGCAGAAGTGGTTGTCTCAGGGTTAGTGCCGTTATTTATTTTCTTTCTGGTGTCGGTTCCTCCGGTACCAACACCAGCATTGTTCCACTGATGATAGCCTCTAAACTGTAGAAAAGAAGAGCAGTGATACTCATGAGAACTCCAAGGTCCTACAGTCAGTTTACAGTTTATACAACATACTCTCGTAGGTGATCTGATTTAATGCCACCAATAATTGTACGAGGTGTTGTCAAAATCACGACTGAGAGGGATCAATACTGTGGCAGAAAAAAAAAGGCAATAATGGACCTTAAACTCAGTCTTCTGACTCTGAGCTCTGGGGTTTTGCCACAAATCGGCAGTTTCCAGGGACCAAAACCAGAAGCAGAGGTAAAAAAGTAAAAAGTAGGCAGGAAAGTACACACTGTGTGATTTAGAGTCATACATCCTCACACGTCTGTTAGTGTGAAGAAGTACACCACTACCTCTCAAACTTTTACATCAATGTATCCTCAGGGCAGAAGCCAGCTTTTCTGTTAAATCTGGGAATTTAACAGAGGACAACCCAAGCTTCATTTCAGAGAGAAGTCTGGTATACTCTTAGAAATCTATGTGACTATCATACCCAAGAGCATTAATCTTTTGTCTCTCAAAAGAATCAAGGGAAAACTGTATGCTTCAGAAAGATGCCCCATTTCTATCCTGTGGCACTCGAAGTATCCCAGGTTGAGATGAGATGAGGAAGATTTGAGTTGTCAAGTTCAGTTTCCCAAGATCTATTCCACAGAAGATGAGCAAATCTCACTTCAGAGATCACTGACTGATGGGAACTGTGGTCCCAGAACCATGGAGAATTCAAATATGAGGTGTAGAACTTAGAAAAAAATGGCTAAAGTCTCTTTGGAGAGTAGAAGCCTGGGAGAAAACCAAACCAAACTCGTTCTCCCATTGCCACCCAGAGACACTGTGAACATTTTGAGTTCACAGGGGAGGTGTAGCCTTGTCAAACGGTCAATGTCTGTGTTAAGGGACTAAGGCAGCCCGAAACTTCTCGCTCCTAGGTCACATCGTCCCTACTCTTCCTCCAGCTGGAAATCTGTGCTGCAACCAGAGGAACCAGAAAAGGGGCAAGAACACTTAGGGTGCGGGTCCTAAGATCAAAGGCCTGCCTCGCGGCAGTAATGATAGTTCCTAGAGGGACTGTGACGTCACTACATTCCACTCCCCCGGGCGGTGGTGGGGGACCGCGGACACATCAGTGCTATGCCCAAGTTGCCTCTTTGAGATTCGGGAGGGGTTCGCAGGGTCGGGACCCAGGTCCTTGGAGACGTGAGCCTGAAGAGCCCAGGGAGGTCGGGCTTGGGGCGGTGGGAGGTGAGGGCCGAGTATGGAGTGGGGAGCCCCAGGAGTCACCTGCCCAAAGTCACCCTGGGTCGACTGGTGACGGCAGGTGCAGGGGCGCCCAGGTCCTTGGAGACGTGAGCCCAAAGGGCCCAGGGAGGTCAGTTTTGGGGTAGTAGGAGGTGAGGGTGGAGTACAGAGCGGGGAGCCCTAGGAGTCACCGGCTCAAAGTCACCCTGGGGTCACTGGCGAGGGCAGAGGCAGGACTGCTGAGGGGGTTGGGCTGGCTGAGAAGATTTTGGTTGGGGGAGCCCAGAGTTACTGGGAGGACCGAGCCTGGTGTGCCTCTGGAGTGGCACGAACTCTGGCAGCTGTTCTGCTGTCTGAGGGGGCCTGGGGCTGGGTTTGGGTTGGGGTGCCACAACCCTCTGCGTTTTACCTTTTTCTTGGCCTCAGCCAATTTTCTCTCTCTGTTTTCTTCTGACATCATGGGGTGGGGAGGGAAGTGGGGTTGGGGCCACAGTGGCATGATCCAGATGAGTACACCGATACACCTCCAGTCACGTACCACACAGCTGTGTGACTGAGCCAGAGGAGGCGTAACCAGAGCCACACTAGAATGCAGAATAGGGGCGTGGCCTTAATGCTTGAAGCCCATTGGTCAGTGAGAAAGATGAAAGAGAAGGGAGGCGGGGCCAGGCAGCCACGTGTCATGAAGGACCTGTGATGTCACATGGAAGGCTGCCTATGCGACTGCTGTTCCCACCCACTCCAGGAGAGGGGTGGTGCTGGCTTTCACTTTAAAAACTTTAAAACTTTATCACCTTAATTGAGGTACAAATCCAATGAAAATGGAAAATTTACAGTGTTCTTGATGATTAATGAAGCAGACTATATTATCCAACATTCCAATAAGATAAAATAATCACAATGATTTTTCTTTTTCTCCTATATTATTATTTTTTTTAAACAAAAAACCAAGAAACATATCTAATATGTTTAAAAACACAAAGCTTTTGAGCCGGGTGTGGTGGATCATGCCAGTAATCCCAGCACTTTCAGAGGCTGAGGCAGGTGGATCACCTGAGGTCAGGAGTTCAAGACCAAAATTTTAGTATTTCAGTATGTATTTTAGTATTTAATACATCGTTTAGGGCTACATGTAGTCATAGAAAAAATAAATCTGGTTCAGTGACTTAAAGAAATACAGATTTCGGCCGGGCGCGGTGGCTCAAGCCTGTAATCCCAGCACTTTGGGAGGCCGAGACGGGCGGATCACGAGGTCAGGAGATCGAGACCATCCTGGCTAACACGGTGAAACCCCGTCTCTACTAAAAAAATACAAAAAAAAACTAGCCGGGCGCGGTGGCGGGCGCCTGTAGTCCCAACTACTTGGGAGGCTGAGGCAGGAGAATGGCGTGAACCCGGGAGGCGGAGCTTGCAGTGAGCCAAGATCTGGCCACTGCACTCCAGCCCCTGCGACAGAGCAAGACTCCGTCTCAAAAAAAAAAAAAAAGAAATACAGATTTCATGTTTGTCACTTAAAATGTGCAGAGGGAGGTAGTCCAGGGTTCTTTACAGTTTCCTAATACTTCCTTAGTCATGTTTTTATTTATTTATTTATTTATTTATTTATTTATTTTTGAGGCAGAGTCTTGCTCTGTCACCCAGGCTGGAGTGCAGTGGCGGGATCTCAGCTCACTGCAAGCTCCGCCTCCCGGGTTCCCGCCATTCTCCTGCCTCCGCCTCCCGAGTAGCTGGGACTACAGGTGCCCGCCACCTCGCCCAGCTAGTTTTTTGTATTTTTAGTAGAGACGGGATTTCACCGTGTTAGCCAGGATGGTCTCGATCTCCTGACCTCGTGATCCGCCCGTCTCGGCCTCCCAAAGTGCTGGGATTACAGGCTTGAACCACCGCGCCCGGCCAATCATGTTTTTATTCTTGTAGTTACAATGTGGCTGCTGTTTTTCCAGGCCTTGGATTGCCTTCCAGGGAGGGAAAGAGGAAAGGTCAAAAGGCTGAGTCTGTCTCTTTTTAGCTGAAAAACATAGATTTCTCAAAAATTTTAAGAGTATACTGCAATTCAATTTTCATCTGTTTTGTTTTGTTTTGTTTTTTTAAAACTCATTCTTGCTCTGTTGCCAGGCTGGAGTGCAGTGATGCCATCTTGGTTCACTGTAACAACCTCCGCCCCTGTGGTTCAAGCGATTCTTCTGCCTCAGCCTCCCAAGTAGAGGAGATTACAGGTGCGTGCCACCACGCCCGGCTCATTTTTTTGTAGTTTTAGTAGAGACCAGGTTTCACCATGTTGGCCAGGATTTTCTCAAACTCCAGACCTCGTGATCTGCCCTCCTCTGCCTCCCAAAGTGCTGGGATTAGAGGCATGAGCTAATGTGCCCAGTTTGCAATTTTCATCTTTTGGCTGCAAGTAAGTTATGTCACTACTCTCAGCTTCCGTGGTGTGTAACTGGGCATGTTGCTTCCTCTCTGTTAGATAGGTTTTAAGATTTATGAATAGGCACTGAATTTTGTCAATTGCTTTTTTCTTTTGTGATTGAGCAATTTTTTTCTTGTCTTTTTATGCTGATAAGGTAACTTAATAGTGTTTGTCTTTTGAATGATTTAACATTGCATTTCTGGAATTAAATCAACTTTGTTGTGATATATGATTAATATCATTTTATATGTGGTTGAGATGGGCTTGCTCATAGTTCATTTGGTAATTTTGTACTTACATTCACAAGAGAAAGTGGAGTGTTAAGTTTTTTTTCTGGTGATGTCTAGTTAGGTGTTTTTTTCTTTTTTTAAAGCAGTCTCGCTCTGTCGCCCAGGCTGGAGTGCTGGAGTGCAGTGGTGCAATCTTGGCTCACTGCATGCTCTGCCTTCTGTTTTTTTTTTTTTACTATGTCTAATGATGTTCTATAGAAAAAAGAGACGTAGCATGTGGTCACGCTGCCATCTTGACAGTGGAATTTTTGTTGTTGTTTTTTGTTTTGAGATAAGAGTCTCACTCTTGTGGCCTAGACTGGAGTGCAGTGGCGCCTTCTTGGCTCATTGCAACTTCCGCCTCCCAGGTTCAAGTGATTCTCCCACCTCAGCCTCCTGAGTAGGCTGGGATTACAGGCACCCACCACCTCACCCAGCTAATTTTTATATTTTTAGAGGGACAGGATTTTGCCATATTGGCCAGGCTAGTCTCGAACTCCTGACCTCAGGTGATCTGCCTGCCTCAGCCTGCCAATGTGCTGGGATTACAGGCATGAGCCACCGCGCTCGGCCAACAGTGGACTGCTTTTGTCTGTCTACTCTGTGAAATAGTAAGACCTCACACACCAGGAGCTCAATATGGATTTAGTCCGGAATGAGGATGGCAGAGGCAGAGTGGCACGGGGGCCTGATTCCGGGTCCTCCGGCTCACTCTGGCCACACCATGAGAGTCTTCTCTTGTGCCTACTCAGCCCTTCACGCTGGTGTTGGCTGAGGGGTCCACTCCTTCCAGGGTTCTGGATCTCTGGTGCAAGTTCCATTGTCTCAGCATCAACTTGGCCCAGGCCCAGCCCACCCAGTTGGCTGTGTCCTGTATTGCAGTGGCCAAGCCGCCGCTCTTAAGAGGGCTGCAGGCGGTTCTCTGAGGCCACTGCCTGAGGCCACTCTGCTCAGTAGCCTCACTGTCTCTCTCTCTCTTTTTTTTCTCTTTTTCCGGGATTTTTATTACTTTAATTCATACAAATGGTTACAGTGACAAACATGATTTTAACCAAAATATTGCTAGCCTACCACATCAGTAGGACGGCACTGGTGCGGGCTGGGACGATGGGTACCCTCCATGTCCCCAGGACAGACGTCGATGGGCAGCGGGCATGCTGGGCATGCCCAAGCTTTTCCTCTTGGAGCTGCTTCATGATGCCGTCTTCATTTGGTACAAGGCGGGGGATTCATGCCAAAATTAGGAAAAACAGCCTTCATTTTGTTTTTCTAAATTATTCTAAAAATAAGCAGGTAGAAAAAAGAATGCACTGTGTGGCATAAAAAGAAAAACAGGAAGGATTCATTGTCCTGAGAAGTTTGCCAACTGCCTCATTCCGGGGCACGTTCCAACATAAAAAACACAAACAAACAAACAAACCACAACTAAAAAAACCCTCAAATTGACTTCCGAATGCTGGTTCAGGTTTTCTTTTTGTTGACAGCTAAGCAAACAGATCCTTTGCAATGTTCTAAAAACTACACAGACAAGAAGGTTCATGGCAGAATAACTACTGACTTCTGCTTAATGAGGAACGCAAAGGACACAGGGCAGAGCGCCCACAGGACGGACGACAACCCACACGAGGCCCAGCGCTGCCCCCTGCCTCCTCCTGACAGCCCAGACCAGTCTCTGCAGTGCCAGGGCCGCCACGCAGGCGCCTCCTCCACATACTCTGGTCCGAGGGTTTCCGGGCCCTCCGCCCAGGCGCGGGAGCTACAGCTGGTCTCTGGCGTGGCCTCTGTCCACCTCGGGCTCCACGGTTTGGCCAGGAGAAGGGGCGTGGGGCGGGCGGGCCACGGGGGCAGGCGTGGGACAGGGACGCGGCGCTGGAGACGCACCTTCCGCAGCAGCTGGGACGCCAGTGGGGCGTTGCCAGTGGGAGCCACGCCCACCGCGCCCGGAGGGCACCTGTAGGCGGCCCGGTTGAGCTCAGGGGCACCACGCGGGGTCGCTGCCGGCCCAGTGGGTGGCGGCCGCCAGATGGTCCTTGTTGACACGGTTCTTCAGGCCGTCTGGGATCCGGCCCGGGACGGCTCTGCGGATCTCCCGGCCCCGCCTCGCGCATCTCGGTGGATGCCTGCTGGCTGTACCACGCAGCGTGGCGGGTGCAGAAGAGACTGGCCGCATCCTGGCGGGCCTGGCTAAAGCTGAAGGGTTCTGGCTCCTGCACGTCCAGGGCCGCGCTGGGCCAACGCCTTCTCGTCCGCCAGGCCGCCCCGGGCCGTGTTCACCAGGAAGGCCCCTTGTCTCACCCCAAAGGACAGCAGCATTCTGAAGGAAAGCGCAGCCAGGCGCAGTGGTTCAGGCCTGTAATCCCAGCACTTTGGGAGGCCAAGGCGGGTGGATCACTTGAGGTCAGGAGTTTGACATCAGCCTGGCCAACATGGTGAAACCCCATCTCTACTAAAAATACAACATTTAGCTGTGTGTGGTGGTGTATGCCTGTAATCTCAGCTACTTAGGAGGCTGAGGCAGGAGAATCGCTTGAACCTGGGAGGCAGAGGTTGCAGTGAGCAGAATTCACGCCACTGCACTCCAGCCTGGGTGACAGAAGGAGACTCTGTCTCAATAAATAAATAAAATAAAAGAAAGCAACATAAACTATGTTGTTTGTACAAACAGTTTAGGCACAGTGAGCCACTCTTATTAGGTAGGGAATGGTGATAGCCCTCTCTAAACCCAAGTTTCTAGATGCCAAATTTGCAAGCAGCCCTTTAAGGACAGTAGTCTCAGACCTGCTATTCTAACTCTTCTGAACAACATCCTAGACAAAAGTACTAATTCTTTTTTTTTCCCCCACTATGGAGTCTTGCTCTGTTGCCCAGGCTGGTCTTGAACTCCCGGGCTCAAGCGATCCTCCTACTTCAGCCTCCCAAAGTGCTAGGACTACAGGTGTGAGCCACCACACCTGGCCAGGTTCTACTTTTTAATATTTAAAATATGGAATAGACTGGGCATGGTGGCTTACACCTGTAATCCCAGAAATTTGGGAGGCCGAGGCAGG